GTTGTCGTCCTGTTGATGACGTCAGCGACGCGGTTTAATCGGGCGCGGCTTAGTCGAGCGCGGTTTTGTCATGCCACGGTCTAATTGGGATTGCTGATATTTAGCAAGAGAGGAACTACTAATAAAGTTCTTCTGGAAAGTGTGCATGGTTTCAGACTGCTTCAGTTGAAGTGTGTCAGCAGCAGAAGTGTCGGTGGATTTGCACAGAGGATGTGAGATTCACTGCAATTTCTGAAAGCGCTCAGCATTTTTGGGTGGCAGAGATAGCAGGGAGCAGAAGCTTTTGCAGCACTCCGTCACTGAGTGACTTCTGAGAAGGAGACGGTGTGATCGAAAGAGGAAACAAGGCAAAGTTGAAGGGCTAACAACCAGGCCAAAGGCTAATCCGTAGGAAGTGTCACGACCATCTATTTTGTTTGCTAATGTGCCCCTTAGAGCCTAAAATGGATTACCTGAAGCTAGATTTAATAACAAACCGGCAGATGAGAAACCGCTGTGTCATCATTGCAACAGAAAATTGGTTAAAAACATTCTGTCCCAGATAGTGCTGTTAGCTTGGATGGACTTTAAACATTTCGGCTTATTTTCTTTTGAGAGCAGGGCATCAGAATTTCTTTCTTTCTTTTTTTTAACGTGTGCCAGCTTGTTCACAGAAGAAAGAAAAAAAAACGACAATAAAAGTTATCTTGCCTTGTAACAAATGTTACAGAGGCAGGGAAAAAAAGACTTGAGGAAACATTCCTCTTAAGATTAATGATCTGCTTTCATCTTTGAACATTTTAGATAAGTCTCCTGTGATCTGTTTAAGCTTTCACTCTGTAAAGCATAAAAAAACAGAATTAAGTTTCCCTTCATAAAAATTAGACTGCTAAGTGTACTGAAGCTATGATTAAAGATACTGATGTCTTAGTGAATCCAAAGGATGAATGTCAACAAAGTTGCTTCTGCGAATATCAATTTGTTAAATTAGCCTTATAAGTAACGTCATAGACATACCGTGAACGTAGTTATCAGGCCGGAAGAGGGGACCTATTTTGCTCGAACGCACACTGTCCATTGTTCCAGGCTCCAAGTCCACCAGGATTGCACGAGGAACGTACTTATGAGCTGCAGCACAAGAGATGTGATAAATAATCACCTGTAGGCCTCACCTGAACATTTCCTAAGCCTACAGAAGTCATTTAAAACGCTTCAGAAGTGTTTTAAACCCTTGTAGGAAGTTAAAACCCACCCTTCTCCAAGAAAAATGAAATATCCTGGGAAATATTGAAAAAGCAGAATATTATATTTCCCTGGATAAGAAATGGAGAAACATGTTTTTAGGCAGGAAACAGACTCACTCTTAATAGCCCCCACCTTTGTCAATGGGCCATTAAAAAAGCCTGGGCCAGTCTATTCTACATAACAAAGATTTCCCCCCTTCAGCTCCAGGATGATGGGATTAAGGCATGATAGTATTAGCCCTTTACCCACATCACC